TAATATATTTTGTATAAAGATAATAATTAAATATCCTGTTATAACTCAATAATTATCCTAATTATATTTTAGATTTTTTATATTTTAAAATGAGATGTTTATTTATATTTGATTATGTTTATCTACAGTTAGTTACACGAATTCAAATATAGAGCTTTAATAAGTTGTATTTATGCACAATTTACTTTTAATTTTGAATTTTAAGTAATACGCATCAATAAACAGTATTTCATGCATAAGAAATGATTTTTAAGATTTTTTTGTCAAATGCTTTATAATAATATAGTATAGATAATAGATATATGATAAACTTGAATAAGTAACAGATGCAACTACTTTGCCAAAAGAGCAGATGGCTTGTTACCCTCTCATCCCTGTTGGAAGTAGATGACTTGTTGGGCCTTGTGGTGGCTCCATGATACCTCAAAAACTGTAACTACTTTTTGGAAGTCATCTTTAGACATGGTTTTGCTAAAATGCATCTGTTTTATTTTTGCAGTTTACATATTTAAATGGTCTGTTTGTAACAAAAACCAACAACCATGTTTTGAAAGGTTGTTCCAGTTATCATCCTTAATGTTCAATGTTGATTTGTTGGCTACCCATTAGTCCATGTTTGATTTTCTCTTTGACTGAATGTTCACTGACAAAGACATTGGAATCCCTTTGTTCACAACTATTGACTTTTACAATCAAGGTGTTAATAGTTGATGTGTACACAGGTTTTCAACTAATTTTTCATCAATAGCTTGATGACAGTAAAAATGGAGATTTTTTATGGGTTTTGAATAATAAGTATATACCTGCATGATGGTGTTGACATTTACAGTAGGGTTTTTCCTAAAAATGTAAAATGATTGTGGTATTGTTATATGAATCCTGAAGCCAATAGGTATAGTTTTCGATTGCCATTGGTTTCTTATGAATATCGGATTAAGGTTGAAGCTCCATGCTCCCATATATGTTGTCGATCCCGTCTCTAAGTTTATAAAATAAATCCCGAGCTTCAGTTTCTTGATAATTTCACATGCATTATTTTGTGCTTCTTGC